TACTTTAAAGAGTCCTCTCCTGCTGATGTTCAGGTGTATATCAGTATGTAGTGTCTCTACTTTAAAGAGTCCTCTCCTGCTGATGTTCAGGTGTATATCAGTATGTAGTGTCTCTACTTTAAAGAGTCCTCTCCTGCTGATGTTCAGGTGTATATCAGTATGTAGTGTCTCTACTTTAAAGAGTCCTCTCCTGCTGATGTTCAGGTGTATATCAGTATGTAGTGTCTCTACTTTAAAGAGTCCTCTCCTGCTGATGTTCAGGTGTATATCAATATTTAGTGTCTTTCCTTTAAAGAGTCCTCTCTTGCTGATGTTCAGGTGTATATCAGTATGTAGTGTCTCTACTTTAAAGAGTCCTCTCCTGCTGATGTTCAGGTGTATATCAGTATGTAGTGTCTCTACTTTAAAGAGTCCTCTCCTGCTGATGTTCAGGTGTATATCAGTTTGTAGTGTCTCTACTTTAAAGAGTCCTCTCCTGCTGATGTTCAGGTGTATATCAGTATGTAGTGTCTCTACTTTAAAGAGTCCTCTCCTGCTGATGTTCAGGTGTATATCAGTATGTAGTGTCTCTACTTTAAAGAGTCCTCTCCTGCTGATGTTCAGGTGTATATCAGTATGTAGTGTCTCTACTTTAAAGAGTCCTCTCCTGCTGATGTTCAGGTGTATATCAGTATGTAGTGTCTCTACTTTAAAGAGTCCTCTCCTGCTGATGTTCAGGTGTATATCAGTATGTAGTGTCTCTACTTTAAAGAGTCCTCTCATGCTGATGTTCAGGTGTATATCAGTATGTAGTGTCTCTACTTTAAAGAGTCCTCTCCTGCTGATGTTCAGGTGTATATCAGTATGTAGTGTGTCTACTTTAAAGAGTCCTCTCCTGCTGATGTTCAGGTGTATATCAGTATGTAGTGTCTCTACTTTAAAGAGTCCTCTCATGCTGATGTTCAGGTGTATATCAGTATGTAGTGTCTCTACTTTAAAGAGTCCCTCTCCTGCTGATGTTCAGGTGTATATCAGTATGTAGTGTCTCTACTTTAAAGAGTCCTCTCCTGCTGATGTTCAGGTGTATATCAGTATGTAGTGTGTCTACTTTAAAGAGTCCTCTCCTGCTGATGTTCAGGTGTATATCAGTATGTAGTGTCTCTACTTTAAAGAGTCCTCTCCTGCTGATGTTCAGGTGTATATCAGTATGTAGTGTCTCTACTTTAAAGAGTCCTCTCCTGCTGATGTTCAGGTGTATATCAGTATGTAGTGTCTCTACTTTAAAGAGTCCTCTCCTGCTGATGTTCAGGTGTATATCAGTATGTAGTGTCTCTACTTTAAAGAGTCCTCTCCTGCTGATGTTCAGGTGTATATCAGTATGTAGTGTCTCTACTTTAAAGAGTCCTCTCCTGCTGATGTTCAGGTGTATATCAGTATGTAGTGTCTCTACTTTAAAGAGTCCTCTCCTGCTGATGTTCAGGTGTATATCAGTATGTAGTGTCTCTACTTTAAAGAGTCCTCTCCTGCTGATGTTCAGGTGTATATCAGTATGTAGTGTCTCTACTTTAAAGAGTCCTCTCCTGCTGATGTTCAGGTGTATATCAGTATGTAGTGTCTCTACTCTACTTTAAAGAGTCCTCTCCTGCTGATGTTCAGGTGTATATCAGTATGTAGTGTCTCTACTTTAAAGAGTCCTCTCCTGCTGATGTTCAGGTGTATATCAATATTTAGTGTCTTTCCTTTAAAGAGTCCTCTCCTGCTGATGTTCAGGTGTATATCAGTATGTAGTGTCTCTACTTTAAAGAGTCCTCTCCTGCTGATGTTCAGGTGTATATCAGTATGTAGTGTCTCTACTTTAAAGAGTCCTCTCCTGCTGATGTTCAGGTGTATATCAGTTTGTAGTGTCTCTACTTTAAAGAGTCCTCTCCTGCTGATGTTCAGGTGTATATCAGTATGTAGTGTCTCTACTTTAAAGAGTCCTCTCCTGCTGATGTTCAGGTGTATATCAGTATGTAGTGTCTCTACTTTAAAGAGTCCTCTCCTGCTGATGTTCAGGTGTATATCAGTATGTAGTGTCTCTACTTTAAAGAGTCCTCTCATGCTGATGTTCAGGTGTATATCAGTATGTAGTGTCTCTACTTTAAAGAGTCCTCTCCTGCTGATGTTCAGGTGTATATCAGTATGTAGTGTCTCTACTTTAAAGAGTCCTCTCCTGCTGATGTTCAGGTGTATATCAGTATGTAGTGTGTCTACTTTAAAGAGTCCTCTCCTGCTGATGTTCAGGTGTATATCAGTATGTAGTGTCTCTACTTTAAAGAGTCCTCTCATGCTGATGTTCAGGTGTATATCAGTATGTAGTGTCTCTACTTTAAAGAGTCCTCTCCTGCTGATGTTCAGGTGTATATCAGTATGTAGTGTCTCTACTTTAAAGAGTCCTCTCCTGCTGATGTTCAGGTGTATATCAGTATGTAGTGTGTCTACTTTAAAGAGTCCTCTCCTGCTGATGTTCAGGTGTATATCAGTATGTAGTGTCTCTACTTTAAAGAGTCCTCTCCTGCTGATGTTCAGGTGTATATCAGTATGTAGTGTCTCTACTTTAAAGAGTCCTCTCCTGCTGATGTTCAGGTGTATATCAGTATGTAGTGTCTCTACTTTAAAGAGTCCTCTCCTGCTGATGTTCAGGTGTATATCAGTATGTAGTGTCTCTACTTTAAAGAGTCCTCTCCTGCTGATGTTCAGGTGTATATCAGTATGTAGTGTCTCTACTTTAAAGAGTCCTCTCCTGCTGATGTTCAGGTGTATATCAGTATGTAGTGTCTCTACTTTAAAGAGTCCTCTCCTGCTGATGTTCAGGTGTATATCAGTATGTAGTGTCTCTACTTTAAAGAGTCCTCTCCTGCTGATGTTCAGGTGTATATCAGTATGTAGTGTCTCTACTTTAAAGAGTCCTCTCCTGCTGATGTTCAGGTGTATATCAGTATGTAGTGTCTCTACTTTAAAGAGTCCTCTCCTGCTGATGTTCAGGTGTATATCAGTATGTAGTGTCTCTACTTTAAAGAGTCCTCTCATGCTGATGTTCAGGTGTATATCAGTATGTAGTGTCTCTACTTTAAAGAGTCCTCTCCTGCTGATGTTCAGGTGTATATCAGTATGTAGTGTCTCTACTTTAAAGAGTCCTCTATCATAGAGTAGACCATGTCCACCACTTGACTCGTAGCATATACATTCTCCTTTAAAGTCTGTTCATATGAACATTATTTGGTGCTTTAGATGTTCCACTTCTTCTTCCCTCACCTACTTTCTTTAAGTGTCTTTTTGTACCTTCATGCCGGACAAGAAACCTCATTCTTTAAAGGGGCTCAAGAACAAATTAAAAAGGTGAATTTCGGAGTGTTCCCACCCTTATCTTAGTCTTATCTTCTTACCTTTTCTGCAGCGTCTGCTCCGAACAGATTTCATGAACATATCTTTTCTCAAACTTGATGAAAGCCACTTTTTGAATACGCGTTTGTAAGATTCTGCTAATCTTTTGACACGAGATTAGCAGAATCAGCAGCCCAAGTGTCTTTTAAAGGGTCATTTTGTTCAGGATTCAATCAGAAAGGAGTCCTGCTGTCAGAAATCAGAAATCACAGGTCGCTAAAAGCTGAATTCATCTTATACCTCAACCCTTTCAACCTGTCAGTTAACAAAGAACCATTTGATTGAACATTAAAAAAAAAAAAGAAATATCACCAACTGTAAAGGTTTAATCATTTTTATTCTGGAAATGATTGAACAAGGAGGCGTGTGGCGTTGGGATCAGGGGTTCACAGGTTCAAACCCCACTGTATTGAGTATGTAAGTTGCTTTGGATAAAAGCGTGTAACAAGTAACATGTCATGTAATGATTGATTAAATGCAATGAAACGCTAACAAAGCAAATACAACTAGGTATGCAAATCACACGTTTATTTTTGCCATTTTCTTTGTGCTGGTGACACTCGATCCTCTTTCTATTACATTATCATAGCCAAGAACAAAGAGAAACTATGAAGAATTGATAATAACATCGAGAGGAATCAGTGAAAGTCATCAATCAGGACATTATTCTATTTAAAAACAACCCTTTTATCCACTTTAATAAACCACAGGACCTTATCAAACAGGTGTTCAGTGTGAATTCTTCTCATTGCTCTCACTGTGTCCTGCATGTAAACAAAACATCTGATTGGTGGGAAAATAAATATAGGGGTAGTGCTCAGCCAATCAGAAAAGAGCCTTTGTTCAGAGTCGGAAATTGAGCACTTGAAGCTCAACTGTTGCCTAGAGACACATTTCAGGCAATTACAGTGGGGAGAAAATAGGTGATAATGTCAATAGTGTGTGGGCGAGTAGTGAGAAAAAGTGCATGTGATTGTACACGTGTTGAAGAGATGGAGACACAGAATTGTAAATATGTGTTTTTCTTTTTTCATCCTCCTTCTTTTTCTTCTTCTTCATGTGAGCAGCTTTCTTTGAATGTCCTGTAATGTGTGTGTGTGTGTGTGTGTGTGTGTGTACCTGGTCAAAGAGGCTGTGGACCTGTGTGAGTGTGTGTGTGTGTTTGTTCGGTGTGAGTGTACCTGGTCAAAGAGGCTGTGGACCTGTGTGAGTGTGTATGTGTGTGTGTATGTGTGTGTGTGCACCTGGTCAAAGGCTGTGGACCTGTGTGTTTGTGTGTGTGTGTGTGTATGTGTGTATGTGTGTGTGTGCACCTGGTCAAAGGCTGTGGACCTGTGTGTTTGTGTGTGTGTGTGTGTATGTGTGTATGTGTGTGTGTGCACCTGGTCAAAGGCTGTGGACCTGTGTGTGTATGTGTATGTGTGTGTGTGTGCGTGTGTGTATGTGTGTGTGTGCACCTGGTCAAAGGCTGTAGACCTGTGTGTGTGTGTGTGTGTGTGTGTGTGTGTGTGTGTGTGTGTGTGTGTGTGTGTGCATATAGGCTCTATGTAGGTGAATATAAATATCTCTTGGAAAGTCAGAGTGTTCTTAAAAAGCTTGTACTATAGTATTTAAAAGTATTAGTATTGTGTTATTCTATATTGTATGTGCTCCCTGTACAGCACTTTGGTCAACTGAGGTTTTACCCATCAGTCACTTTATCTCTTTTTAGGTGTTAAGGTGGACATCACTGTATTTTTATAAAGAAGTGGACTGCACCTTTTCCACTTTTGACAATGTGACGGGTATCTTCCCTTTTTCAACACCTGTTGGATTAGTGACCACGTCCAGGTCTCTAAATCCCCTCCATTTAGACCCCAAATCCCCTCTTCGTTCCCCCTGTTTATAGAAAAGCTTCTCCTTCAGGTTAGCTTTCCTCTGGAGGATCCAAACGAAAACCCCCATCACTAACAGAGCTGAACCCAGACAGGTGAGCCATATCCCTGCCGTGGAGCTGATATTCAGGCTTTTGTTGAAACTGACCGCCTGTTTGTCCACGAAGAACAAGTCTCCCTCTCCGAATGACTCCATTTTATGGGGAGTTGAATAACCGACAGACAGAGAAGTGATGCCTGCAGTCAGGAGGAGGAAACTGAAGGCCATGGACACCTGGGAGGGAGAGAGAGATTTTAATGTATTCTACTATTTCAACAATTAGACAGTTTATACATTTATACATATCGTTAGGAAAGGTCTCCGTGTTGTGTGTGATGCAAAAAAAAAAGCCAAATTGCCAAATGAGGAGGGGTCTTTAATGAAATCCCTCACCTTTACAAATACCACCAAACCACTGCTGCACTTCCAGGGCTCGACAGTAACGGTTGCCAGGTTGCCATTGGCAACCATTCAGAAAAAATGTCAACCACTTCTTGGCCTTTGGTTGCCATCAGTGGCAACCAGTTTTTAACATGAAGAAATAAGGACAGCTAAATGTGCACCCCAAAAGAGATGCATGTTAATTATTTGTTGTATTAAGAGTGATATTTAATTATTGTTGTGACCAGTCGGAACCTGATACTAAAGTTGCACGTGCATTGGTGTGATTACGGGATTATTATTAACATTTTAAAGTTTTGAGAAAAAGTCAGAATTTTGAGATTTTGCAAAAAAGTCAGATTTTTGAGGAAAAAGTCAGAATTTTGAGATTTTGAGAAAAAGTCAGAATCTTGAGATTTTGAAATCTTGAAAAAAGTCAGTATTTTGTACATGACAGGATGTATGAGTACCTACAGCGGTAGCCCCCAGGCTCTGGAACGACCTGCCCCCCCATGTCAAATTGTCGCCCACTCTTGAAGCTTTTAAGTCCCGCCTAAAGACCCACCTCTTTTCCCTCGCTTACGAGTCAGTCTGAGCTGCAGTATGTCACTACCTATTTGTATGCTTTTATTGTCTGTCCATAGCCTTTATGTGCCTTGTATCTATTCTCATGTGTGCCTTTTATCTATTCGTGTAATATTATATTTTATTATAATGTCATGTTCATTGTGAAGCACTTTGGCAAACCCTCTGTTTTTAAAATGTGCTATATAAATAAAGTGGATTGGATTGGATACAAGAACCGGTATTCCTCCATCTTGTGACTGTGTAACTCCCTCTCTTGGATATCAGCATGTGAAGGACACTGTTCAGGAACTAGTTGATGCTCTGTATGTGATGACTACTTCCATTCTGGAGAGGATCAGAGACACATGGATCCTGAGATTGAAGCTCAAGCCGGGGACCAGGGAGAGTTTTATAACAGTGAACAGATCATAGTTTCTCTACCTTCAGAACTGCTGCGCTCCACCTCAGGTTCTTCCTCTGGCTCTGAACGACCCCCTCGTCTTCTGGGTTTTTGTCCCACATGGAAGAACACTCCTCATAGAAGTGATGCAGATAGGAACGAACACCAAACTGAAGACAGCTAGAACTGGCCTGAGAGGAGAGGATTAAAGGGGCCTCTTTAAAATACACAAAGGTTCCTAATTACACGGGAGAACAAGACAGTTAACAAATTAACATTTCACATTTATATCCAATCTAATATTTAATATTCCATTCCTCTCATACTTATATATATAATATCCTGCTTCATATTTTGTTACTGTAAACTGTTACTACTTTTTTCAATGCCATTTTATTTCTATTGAGATGGATTGCTTATCTCTTTTAATTTTTAATGTACAATGCCATGTCTTTTTATGCTGCTGCAACGCAAACATATCCCAAAGTGGGATCAATAAAGTACTTCTGATCTTATCTTAGTACATATGGGGTATCAATAAACAACTCATTGTGTACCTACAGTAACCACTAATGAATCTGTAAGAACAAATACAAAAAGGACAAAAGGTTAACAGATAACGTTGTAACATTTTGTGTTTGAGGTGTTTTTAACTTCATCACAGTTTTTAAATGATTGAGCCTACCCTATTATTATTTGTTTACATCACTTTTATTTGTATTTGTTGAGCAGTTCTGGGTGTCACATTTTTTCTGTTGACTGTTTTGGTCCTTCTAAGTTATTGTGTGTTTGATTTTGTTTATTTAGACATCATCAACCGTTTTTAAACTTCAGAATTATAGGACTTTCTCATTGAAAATGCGTCACAGCATGAAGCCAAGCTTAGACTCTTATGGCGCATTTCCACTGCAGCGCGTAGCACGGTTTAAGCGTGCCGTGCCAAACCCGGCCCGTTTTTTGTTACGTTTCCACGTTCCGGCTAACGGGTACCTTTTCACAGTTTTTCTGGGTCTCCAAAATCGTGGTTCTTTCCGGGCCAACAACCGGGCTGAGTATGCTAAACTAGTGAGAGAATCGCTGGCAAGGGGGCTACAACTACAACAAGATGAACATATTTGACCGTGATTTAATTGTAATACACGTTTCAAAATGATGCCGAAGTAACAACATACTGATACCGGTTAGTAAAAACCATGAATTAATGCTTTGACAAGTCTGCAGACAGACGGCAGGGGAAAAACCTTTTAAAATGCGTGTTTTCTAAATGGAGATTGGCTAAGCTAACGCAGTATATGCTCCGACCGTCCACACTCACAACAACGGCCTATACAGACATAAATAAAGCAGCGACTGTATTCACCATGACACAGGCAGTCTGTGGTTTGTACTTGTTTCACTTTTGTCTAGTTTCTGAACAGATATGAGGAGCTGTGAGCTCTGAGTGCTAACAGCTAACGGCTGTGTTGGTTTTGTGTTTCGCATTGAAGATGACGTCACGGCTCCGCCTACACTGCGTTACTATAGTTACTGCCCCAGCTACTAAACTGTAATGGAAACGCAGCATAAAGTGAGCCTGGCCTACCAAGGCCTAACTATACCGTACTAAGCCGAGCGAGGCCCTGCAGTGGAACATTAGACTCAAATTTAAATGGGAATTGAGCCGCCACTCTAAGTACTACTATTACTTGGTAACAAGTTAGAAAAACAGGTGACAGTGGGGTGTGATGAGTGTTAAAACTGGTTAGTTATCAACACTTACTGTAGCTGCTCTGAAAACATTTCCAGGATTTGTTTTTGAATGGTTTTGTATTGATGTGTTTGACATGACATGCAGGGGTTAAATTGGGCCGGGGCTGTCCGGGGCTCAGCCCCGGCACATAGGACGATGCTCTGACGTCATCACCCTCGCTCATTTGTCATTTGTTTAAGCCATATGTTAAAACATCTCTCGTTCATAATATAGACTTTATTTAGGGTCGATATGTGTTGACTTTACTTTAAAATAGCAGATCTCTGTGAGGATATAGTTTTTCCGCTTAGTGAACGTGTGTCTCTGCTCCGATCAGGAGCTGCAGCACCGCGGCTCCTTCGTGCAGAGAGTCTGCAGCGGTGTGTGTGTGTGTGTGTGTGTGTGTGTGTGTGTGTGTGTGTGTGTGTGTGTGTGTGTGTGTGTGTGAAGAAATGTTTGAAAATGTAAAGTAAAATGCTTCAATCTGGTGCACTTTAAGCACACATTACTAGAGACTAGATCTAGGGGGTACAACTCTAAACACCCATATGAAAAAGATCGGTTTACATTTTAATAATCAAATATGTGAACATAACCAATAACCTACCATAGCCAATAACAAATAAATGTAACTTATTTTATTTTTGTTGTTCATTCATATCTTATTTTACCTAGTTAACATTTATTTATGCATATTTTTTTATCTCTCAAGTTTTAAACGATATTTTTGGTTTACTGTCCTATAGTATACATTGAAATGATTTCAAACCTGTTTATCCCAATAATTATAAAGGAGTGCCTTGGAAATATGTGTTTACATAAATTGCATTTATCTCTCTTGCTCGCTCCCACGCCCACTTTGGCTGTGAGCTGCGGACGCCTGATAAGCCAACACCCCCCACTTTCATCACTTACAGCGCCCATCGTACAGGGCAAATGAAAAGTGTAACCGGGGTGAAAAGGGTGTTACCTTTACTTAATTATGAATGTTGTTACATCAAGGCCGAAAATTAGGATGAGCGCAAACAGTCAAAAAGGTTTTTTTCCCTCCCAGAGCTGCCAGCGCAGCGACCCCCCAGATCTGGCGCCCTAGGCGACCGTCTATGTCGCCTATGCCAAAAACCGGCCCTGTACACCATGCTAAATGTGTTGTAAATGAGTTATGATCGGTCATAATAACACAGAATTTGGTGATGATTAAATAGTTTACAGTGAGATTTACTCCCATACTTTTGGCCATACTCACGCAGCCCTACAAATGAATTGAGATTTCCACACAAATGTTCTTTAGCAAGTGTGCAGAGCAGTGTTGATTTAAAAAAGCAATTTGAAGGTTGGATATTTGTAAACCTTTTTTTGTGTATATATATTAATAATTTAAGATGTAAATGAATTCCAGTTTATTTGTAGTACTTTCTATTTTTATTGTGACATTTGGTGGCATCAATGTGTGCATTTGATACAGATAATGGAGCAGTTGCTTTAGGGCCACAGTGTATATCCCTTAAGGTCAAATAATGAGATCCTCGACCTCCGCCCCCCTCTCGCACCTCCACACAGAGCCCCCCCACATATCAAATCCCAACTTAACCCCTGATGACGTGTGATTTTGGTGCCTTTCCCACAGGATCACCATCGAATAATAAATATAAATAAGTAAGTAAGTAATAAGTGATTATTACCAGGACAAAGAAATGGAAATCTGGCAAAAAGCTCCATTAAGGTAAATCCAAGGTGTGCTGTTACATTGTGTTGCACGAGGAGCCTGTGACCTAAGATGTTCATTGATATATCTGTAGCTATGTACAAATGACAATAAAAGCTTTGAATCTTGAATGTTGAATCTAAATAAAGCAGTCTCTTCTTGTTTTTTTTCTAAGTAGAGACGGATCAGTTGCATTGAAATATGTACAGGGTTCCTGCAGGTTTCGCCAACTCAAATTTAAGACTTTTTAAGACCTTTTTAAGACCACTTCGAATAGAATTTAAGACCTATTTCACGGCAAGAAAGTATGAAGGAAAATTGCTATGAAAGAAGAAATACGTCCCATAATTACTTACAAATCAAATGTATTCATGTTCAACATAAGAACAATGACTGAACATAACAGCATAACAGTACAGAACTGTGTTAGCCAAAAAGTGTGTATGTGTCTCTGTGTATGCTTGTGTGTGTGTTAGGGCTGTGCAATTAATCGTATTTTAATCGCCTTAATCGTGGCCTGCCACAATTACAAAAACAACATAATCGAAAAAAAACTATTATTTAGCTTTGCTAGGTTGTGACAGTGCACTACAACATATTTGATCTAATTAATTTTAGTCTAATTTATTTTTATTTATCATATTTATATATGTTTAGTAGCTTGTGGAAGTGCGCTCCAAAATATTTGTTGATCTTGTTTATTGGTATTTATTATTTTGATATTATTTATTTAAATATATCATTTATTTAATTTATTGTTGTATTGGTTTTTCAGTTGAATTATACGTTCAGGGTAATCAACAGTTAAAAATATACTGTTCAAATTATTATTTGTTTTAAAGTTCAATAAATGGATGTTTTCAAAGTCAATGAATGTATTTAATAATCGTGATATCAATTATTGACCACAATGATCGTGATTATGATTTTTGCCATAATCGAGCAGCCCGTGTGTGTGTGTGTGTGTGTGTGTGTGTGTGTGTGTGTGTGTGTGTGTGTGTGTGTGTGTGTGTGTGAGAGAGAGAGAGAGAGAGAGAGAGAGAGAGAGAGAGAGAGAGAGAGAGAGAGAGAGAGAGAGACGAGAGAGAGAGAGAGTAACAAGAGCTATATTCAGAGCTCTGCTGCCTTGGCTACAATCTTTCATCGTTGCTGTTGTAGGATTGGTGTTTAGCTACGGTATTTAGCGTATACACTACAGCACCTCCGCTTTTAGGGTTGACTTCGAAGACCCAAACGTCGCCCGGAGGTCCAACAGTGTTGTTGCGGGAACTGCTGCACTAGCTAACGCTGCACTAGCTAACGCTACATTAGCCAAACAAACGCTAATTTCTTTTGCAAAAGGTGCAGCGGGCTACAAACACGTTCCCCTCCACTGGTTTCAACCAAGCACTAAATTCAATGTTTTCCAACCAAATACGGTTGAACTTACACTTCCCCATATTTATTTGTAAGTAGATTCGAAGAGACATGAGTTTCTGACTGCCGCTAGATGAAGCTTGGTTGCTAGGTTACTAGCTGGGTGTTCTCCGTTAAGGGGCCGGGGGAAACAAAGTTAGTGATTACTGGTTCCATGTTGATTTATTTCAATACAAATTGTTGGGGGGAACTGAAAGGCTATTACCGTTACTTTGCAGCCCGGACAAGTCCCCCAAAACACATTTTAGACGCGATCGCAACACAGAAGTACCTTTCAAATCCCATCATTTTTAAGACCTTCTAAATCATATTTAAGACCTTTCTTATTTTTTTGGTCATATTTAAGACCTTTTTAAGGCCTTAAATTCAGATTATCAAATTTAAGACTTTTTAAGACCCCGCGGGAACCCTGTATGTAACAAAGGCGTAGGAGACGTCTGTACATCTGCTGAATGTTTACGGTGACTGTAATAAAAAAGAATAAAATAAAACTTGATGACACTCACCTCACTCCCAGAGGATTCTCCACCCGAGGCGTCAGAGCACAGCGCCATCACACACCTACACCCACCCCCACACCCCCCACACACACACACACACACACACACACACCAAAAAGGATAAATATATACATTTACATCATACCTATCATTTTAAGTTTCGTTCATTCCTTCATTACAATCCTAAATATAAATGTATGTAGCTTATTTTCCATTTGTTTGAGTGAATGAGTCAATTATTTTGTTGACAGCAACAACAACAAAGAGCAAATAACATCTTGCAGTGAGCAGATAACATAAAGTGCAATTTTAACTGTGAGGCTTATCCACTGAAGCTTCATGCAAGTGCAACATTTAACATTACAACTAGTTATTTTAACACAATTCTTAAAAAAAATAAATTCTAACAACATTCTTTATCCGTGCATAGACCATTGGTGCGTTCACATCGGACGCGATGCGACTTTTGGGGGCGGCGCGATTACATGTAAAGTCAATGCAAAGACGCGGGACAGACGCGGTTGATGCGAATGACGCATTCTCGCACTAGCCAATCAGCGGTGAGGATCTCAGTCTGCCGTCACTGACGTTGAATCAGAAAACCAAAACATCAGCCGTTAGCTGTTAGCACTCAGAGCTCACAGCTCCTCATATCTGTTCAGAAATTGGACGAATGTTAAACATGAACAAACCACGGACTGTCTGTGTCATGGTGAATACAGTTGCTGGTTTATTTATGTCTGTATGACGTTGTTATGAGATTGGACGGAGCAGCTACATGTACATGTTAGTTTAGCCTGATCGATCCGATCTCCATTCAGAAAACACGCATTTTAAAAGGTTTTTCGCCTGCCGTCTTGTCAAAGCATTCATTCGTGGTTTTTACTAACCGGTATCAGTATGTTGTTACTTCGGCATCATTTTGAAACGTGTATTACAATTAAATCACGGTAAAATATGTTCATTTTGTTGTAGTTGGTATCTACCATAAGTGCAGTGAGTTCCAAAAAATGCAGCATCACTTTAACCTGTTAAGCCCCAAGACTGTTTGTCAGGTCTCAGGCTCGAAAATGACATTCCCGGAACAAATGACTATAACTTCACTTCTAAAAGGGGTAAATTAATAATCTTTTTTCTCAAAGCAATGATAAACCTGTGAGTTGGCTGTAGAAAAGTCAGAATCAATATAGATGTTTTTATTTTAAAGTAAATTCAGATTGAACATAGCAAAAACTATGATTGATCAAGATTGATGCAAATCAAGTGAAATTTGACCTTTTTAGACCTCTGGGGTCATTTGGGTGTATTTGCCGTTTCATTGGAACCCATTGGTCGATGTTGATGATTGACACCTCTTTGTAACCGTTAGAGTCAATAGAATCGAGGGGGAGTTCCTAAATCCATCTAAACATTTCCATTGAGGAGTGAGAGTGATGCGCACGCAGCTTGCCCAAAACCGGAAGCTCCCTTACAATCTATAGAAAAATACGTTAATTGACATAAATGTTATGATGGATTATCAGTAATCATTTCAAAGTGACAGAGACATTGGATTAACCTTCAGCAGCGTTTATATGCGTTTTAATAGACTATTATTTTCGGGAGCGACAGGGAATGTCTCAAAGATATGTCAATCAAGTGGCACCTGCTAACGGGGTGGAGGCTTACATCTAAAACCTTTTTTTTTTAAATATTATTTTTAGTTTTCTTCTTCTTCTTTTTTAACGGTGCGCGATCTACCCGTCGCAATCGACTGGTTGGTGACCACTGCCTTACACGATGTAATGAAGAAACACACATGACTCATGCGTTTTGAATGAAACTCAACCTGATAAACTGTCATGAGGACCACCTATCGCCTGACTCACCTGAGATAAACCAGGAAACAGGATGTTATTCTGCCTCGCTGAGACGACACTGTGACTACCCGATTTGCATTGCGCATGCGCGAGATGGTCCGCCATATTGAACAGCTACATACGGCAACCCAAATAGGACACTTGACGTCTAGATCAGGGGTGGGGGAACCTTTTTCCTCTCAAGGGCCATTTCATTTTTTTCAACATCCTCCGAGGGCCGTACAAATGATTGACCTCTGCTTAAAATACTAAAATCACAGCCCAATCATTTGGCCTTTCTTTCATGCTGTGCAAAGAAAAAGCAACCTCTTAATCCAGATATTTTACCATGACTCGCGCATGCATGCACGAGCACGTGCACGTGCACGGTTGTGGCATGACCACCAAAACAGAAAGATATGGACACACGATGTGTGCACATTTATTTAGTTTCCTATCCATGTGAACATGATTTAAGTGGGGGGGGGGACCTCACCTCCTCTAGGGGGGAAGATTTTTTTTTAAATATTGAAGTTAAAAGCATCAATCTGGTGCACTTTGAGAGCAACATGAAGAGATCTATGGATACATCTCTCAACACCCATATGAAACAGAACTGGAAGCAGCTTTTATTTTTCTTTATGGATATTTTACAAATCATTCTCCTTTCAAACTGTATTCTTGTTTATTAATAACCACTTGTTTTTACTGTCATATAGTATTTTATACCTGTTTACTTCATTCTCTTATTTTTTTATAACTATAATGATCATATAAAGATGTGCCTTTACCTCACTGGTTGTGGAAAAAGCTTCTTATATTCGTTAGCATAGCTAGCTAACCAGATGCTAATAACAACAAAGTTATTGACTGTATGATCAGTATGACAGATGAACAGATCGCCACTGGGCTTTCAACTAAAGACACAGCCACGCAAAAACTGCGGCATGTGTTCGGCTCCTTATCAAGGGCCATTGGCCCCCCCACTTTTCAGCCCTGCCCTACATTTTCGCAGCGGCGGATGCCGCGGAACACTGTACAAATCCCGTTTCAATAATTCCCCTCTACTCTAAAGTCGCATCTAAAACGCGATCTGATATAGCTGTGTATATTTTGTTATTTTTTATTGTTATATTCAATCTCATTAGCTACAGGCATGTTTGAAGCTTGTAAAGGGAAGATGACAGCTCTCCTCTCCCTCGCCACTCTGCTGTTCCACAGCGCCGCTTCCCCTCCCTCCGCTGAAATTATGAATGTAAGGCGTATAGTAGGCTAATCATAGATAACACGGCAGGGTCCGTTACAGTTTGTTTTTATCTGATTTCAAATAAACAAAGTCTTGGCTTTCAGAATATTAAACTTGTTTCGGCAAATTCAGATGATAAATACAACTTTGAAGCTTGTAACGGCATAATTACAAGCAACGGAGTAACTTTACGTCACTGCAGGCATAACAGCAGCCGGTGTTTCTCGTGAGTGTTTTCCCCGGGAAACAAACACAATACACACAAACGCAAAAATACACAAACACACACGTATACACACACACTCGCGGGCTTCCCCCAGACCAGTAATCCAAACGAAAATATCTTCCCTCCGTAGTATTTTGATCATTTGCTCCGCTAATCAATCAGATCGATCCAGAGAAGAGGAAACTTTAAAGGCCTTTTTCTCAAAATGATGACTCTGTAACAGTCATTATATAATGTGACATATTTTGCTTAATATTTGGAGTACAACAACAATCCTGATATCATTAGAAAGCTAGGAATCTCCTCTTTCCAACAGTGTATACAACTCAAAATGTGTCTTCGCGTCAATGCGACTGATTTCGATGGAGCAGGTCACTTTGCATTAGGTAAAATAAAGCAGGCAGAGATAACAGGAAGAATATGTACATTTTAACCCAATCAAATAGGACATTGTCACACCATTCAAATGTATCCATGTAAATTACAACCAATAAAAAAGCTTAGATTTGTTTATTTGTTACGTTGTTTACTTTATTTGTTACGTTCTGTGTGTGTCAGCCGTTAACCTAGATATAAATAAAATATACACTTGCAAACATGTCAGAAGAACCAGCGCAGAAGAAAACTAAATACAGTCAATCTTAAATTTAACAACTGGAAGGTCACATCCCTGACATCCACATCAATGGAGCCTGGACCTTCATCAATCATAGAACGAGCGAAGCCAGATGAACCCAAAAGCAGCAGCTCTATGAGGTGTGATTTGTGCCAAAGAACAGATAACTAAGCTAACTGAGCGGAGAACTGACGTGTCAACGTGCGCCAACGCCTCCATCAATTGTGAATGGGTTGACGTAGAATACAGGCGACGTCACGACGATGTCAGACGTCAGGGCGACGTACCATAGGTGCGCTCAAAGTACGCGCTCACGTAGCGGCGGCATAGCTTAGAAAGCACTATCTTAGATATGCGTGTTGATAACGTACGTGTGGATAAGCGCGTGAATAACGTACGTGTCGCCTCCGTTAGCATTGTATAGCATTATCCTACATTATATTTTTCGAATGATTCCGCTCCTACAGTAGTTTGGAGAGTGTTACAGGTACACTTTCTCATCGGCACAGTATTGGTATCAGAAGAGAGGGGAATAATAATTAATAATCATTAGTATGAGAATATTTGCTGGTGTTGTACTCGAGACCGGTCTCCAGACCACTTTTTAACGGTAGTGGTCTCGGAATCTGCATTTGGTTTCGTATTGTCTCTGTATCGGACCGAGAGGACTCGAGATTTTATGTCAAGACCGGTTAAGACCACGGCTGTGGCTGGGGATGTGGATCGGGAACCGAAATCCGGTTTGGAACAAATAACAATTGTCCGGTACGGGGATTAATAAGAGTAGTCTCTCTCTCTCTCTCTCTCTCTCTCTCTCTCTCTCTCTCTCTCTCTCTCTCTCCCTCTCCCTCCCTCCCTCCCCTCGGGAACAGCTGATTGCTGCACGGCGATCAGCTGTCCCTCCCTCCCTCAAGGTGTGTGTGGGTGTGTCTGTGTGTCTCATTCACTGTCCCTCAGGTTGTAGCATGTTTCGATTGCCAGTTTGTGGCTTGTATGTCTTGTGAACGCAACGCTGGCATGATGTGGCCTGCTGACATGGCCTCAAATAAACACACAGGACTAAAATAATACGTGTTTAATTCAGCCCAGATGCGGTGACTGCAGACCAAATCAATTAATGCGGCATATATTGAAG